AGCTCCGGGGCAGTCAGTCAGTCAGACGCCGCCTCCTTCTCGCGCCCCCAGCGAGGGGGGTGGGGCGGTCTCACAGGGCGTCCATCGCCCGGAGGGAAGGACCTGAGCCTCGAAGTCACGGTGCCTGACGAGCGGCCCCCCCTTCCCCAAGGCCTCCCCGCCCGGCCCGGACCTGGCAAACCCTCGTCTCCTCCCGGGCCGGTGCCCGGGGCTGACGGAGGGAGGGAACGGTGGGGAGGGGAGGGCCGCTCACGGCGGGGCCCGAGCTCTGCTGTTTCTCTGGACCGAGAGTAGAGGGGGCTGAGGGGACTGGGTGAGAGGGGATAGGGGAAAAAAAGAGTAGTCACCCCCACCAGGCGCCTTCTGTCACCGAAGACGGGGGTGCGAAGTGGCCGAGAGAGAAGAGCCGAGTCCGCCCGGGAAACTCTCCGCGCTAAATGGCGCCGGGAGTCTAAAGCCTCCACACAGCCCGCTCCGACCCCGCCCCCCGCCGCCCGGGGCAGCCCCACCCCCACCTCAGTCTCCGGGCTCTTGCGCAGGCGTGCCAGCGCTGAGGCTTCCTGGGACTTGTAGTTTACGAATTTGAGGACTGAAAGGGTCTGAAGAGGAAGAGGCCTACGACTTCCGTGATGCCCTGCGGTCGTTTGGGACTAATGCCTCGTGGGAATTGTAGTTCTCTTTAGAAACCGCCCCTTGTGGAAGGCTGATGGGAGCGTCTTCGTGGGTCGCTAAATCGCATCCTGAAAGCGCTAGATAGGAAAATCATTATTTGGGGATTAATTGTGGAAGAAGGGAAAGAAAGGAAAAAAGGAAGAAGAGGGAGGGAGAACTGGAGGAGTGACTCCCATCATGCTCTGCTGAGGCGAGAGATGTCTTACGTCTTAGGGCTACCATGCAATGAAAAATGATCTGTTGTTCTTTAATGGAGAGCCGCAGTAGTGTTGAGTGACTGTAGGGGTGTGGGGGTGGATGGGAAGAGCAGAGCAGGATAACCGCAGCCTGAGCTCAGAGGGCCCGGGGAGCCAAAGACTTCTTCCGTAGGGTAAAAGAAACTTTGAGGATTGCGCATGCGATTAATATTGATTAAGTGGTTTAGAGGAGGCAGGAATAAATATCTTGCCCTCCCTTCCATGACAAGTAAGGCCACATTCTCAGCTTGTCTCAAGACAAGATATTCTGCCTCTCATAGATAGGCTGCCCCTACTGAAATCCAGAATCATGGTGAACTGTTTGCAGAAAAAGAACGTGGGGAGGAGGACCGTAAAAAGATAAGGTCTACACATTTTTGCCACTCTTATCACAAACTTGAGGGAACTTAGCTGCCTTCTGTTTGTGTCGTTGGTGGAAACTTATTTTCCATCTCTCTTTTGTGTGCTGGCTTAGGAAAACAACATTCTGTTTTTCTAGAGGTGACTGAATGTATACGTGTAATTTATACCAAGGCGAAATCTGGATGCGTACAGTTCGTTGTAATGGAACGCTTTTCTTAAAAGCATCCTTGATGCTCCTTGGACCCCTTTTGCTCTTTGCGGCTTCTCTAGAGTGTGGAGGTGATGAGCACCAGGGGGCACCAGACAGAGCAGGAAACCAGACCTGGGCGTCAGATGGCAGTTAAAAGTATTAGCCCAACGGGTGAGAGCGGGAAGCATTTAAACGTACGCAACCGCATCAGAGCGTCAATGCGCCGCTGCTTCTCGTTAGCGCCCGCTGTAGAACGAGCTCAGAAGCGCACGTTCTAGCCGAAGTCCACACTGTGAGCGAGACTCTTGGAAGCGTCTTGACAGAAGATTCGTTTCCTCGGAAATGTCCACAATCTCTCTGGCTGCCCAGTCCATATTCACCTGATACATAAAATATTTGTGCTGGCTTATATTTCTTTTTTTTGTTTGTTTACCAGAAGCTACACTTTATTAAAAAGCTTTATTTGGTTCCAATGCTGTTAGCTTTCTCAACTTTATTTAGTTTTTAACCCAATAATCATTAGCTTTCTCGCAGGCAGCAAGCTTGAACATTGTAATTTTAATTGGTGCACTGTTGTTTTGTGCCACCGAATGGATTCTTAATCATAGCAACCCTGTAAGACAGTAGAACTGCCTCACAGGATTTCCAAGACTTCACATCCTTACAGGGACAGATCTCCACGTCTTTTCTTCCTGGGGAGTCAAACTGCTGACCTTTCGGTGAGCCGGCAAGCTCACCATTGTGACACCAGAGATACTATGGTGGGGGCAACTAAAGCACTAGAATATTAGAGCCTCATAGTTTTAGAAAATCTGTTTCACACAAAGTTGCCACGAATTAATCTAATTATCGTAAGTCTCGTGGTAGGTGTAATTAGTGTTTTATCTCCAACTTAAACTTAGGTAAACAAGGGAAGAAATGACTTTAAACCACCCCTCACCTTCATCGAGTCAAAAGTATACTTTTAATGAACTTCTTGAGGCTGTGTGGTAGAATTTGCCCAACTGTAGTTTTACTAGGGAAAATAATCTTTTAGACCAAAGGTTGGCTGTTCAAACCCACCAGTC